TGTTAAAATTTCAAGCATCTGCTATGTGTATACAGCAGTTTCTGAGAAAACTTTGACGTTAATTTGTTATGGACAGATAGACAGACAGAAACACAAGGGTAAAACAGTGCATACCCTCACTCCAGTATAAAAAAACAAGAGGCCCATGGGCCTTATAGGTCACCTGAGCATTATGCAACAACTTTCCAGCGATTTAATTTGATTGATGTTTTAAGCAAGATGCTATGGCATTCACAATTTTGAAAGAGGCACCATTTGATTATCATAACCATACACTTAGCAGTTGCTTAGTTTGTTTACTTAATACCCATAGGCAGGGTGGGGGAACAAAAAATGCATTTCAAGTAATCAGTAATATTCAGCAATAATCAGTAATGCTCCTATCACACATGAACCCCTGACCCTTAGGCCTAAATCCACACATTGTACAATTTTTGAAAAGGCACCCTTGCTTTTCAAAAATATTTGATTAATACCAAGGAGCAGATCTCAAACAATTCATCCGGTTTATTCCCACTTAGCCAACATTTTGAAAAATCCTATTCCCACATAGCCAACATTTTGATTTTTACACCTGAGTGATTAACAGGCTATAGTCTGTTTTCTGGTATGCATATATATTAATTACCTGAGAATTATTTCCTTTGGGACATAAAAACAGTGTTAAAATATACCAACCAGAGTTAAAATTTTAGTCAAAATAAATATAAAATTAAAGAAAAAAAATTAAAGTTCAATAACTTTTTACTGTAACAAGTAGAAAAATTTAACCAGAGAATTAATTCAAAAAGTAATTAATTTAAATTTATAAAAAGAATATTAATATCATTTAAGTAAAAAAAATGGAAACAAATATATTTTTTGGACCACACAAAATATTTTTAATAAAAAATAAATAAAAAAATTAAGAGACTTTGAAGAAATAATTATGTATAATCATTAAAAATGGTTGTGTTGGTACTGGTAAAAGTGTTTGTACATAACATTACCGATACACAAGTTAAGTATATAATTATTTTATGAATGATTATAATTGAATGTTTTTTTAAAGAATGTTCTAAACTAGATCAGCATGATAATTATCAATAATTTACAGAATCAAAAGTTTGTAAATTCTCATCTCATTCATTTTGAGTGACAATATGCAAGTGATTGTGGTGAAATAATGTAAAAACTAGTATTTCAATCATGTGAACATTGATTGTGAATCCATTGTTTGTTTTATTTATGTCTTATTTATTGCTGTGAGAAGTGAAAGAAAAAACTCATAATAAAATATTATTACTTTACACAAGCGTTTTTCTTGAAGGTTATATTTGAAATATAGTAGTAAACATGGTAAATGTATCTCTAAAAAATAAATATAAAATTAGTTTTCATAATTATATTTCCAGGATGAAAACAATAATTCTTGAAGTTTATATTTGAAATATAGTAGTACATATGCGTGTATCTCTACAAATAAATAACTGTTTTCATATTTATATTTCCAGATGAAAAAAAAAATTAGTAAGCATTCATCATTTTAGGTTAACATCAATGGTCAGGTATAATTAGATATAATTCTTTAGAGATAGAGGAATTTTTTATTCATTTTATATTTGAAATAAGAAGACATCTAAAATAGTTATAAAAATAATGCAATGTTTAAAAAAAAATCATAGTTTCAATTTTTAAAAAAATTAATATTTTTATATGAACAATTTAATATTTATGAGAAGAAAACAATTAAATATTTTATATTATCCTAATAAAAATTACATGCTATTTATTCAGCATATAGCTAAAACAGACTATAGCCTACCTGTAATTAATTTCTTTTGGTCTCCCCCTGCACCCTATTCCCACTTAGCCAACACCGACTTACCTGTGTTTTACCTGTATTTTTTCAAAATGTTGGCTAAGTGGGAAGTTTCAGTATATAAGTACACCCCCCCCCCCCTATGGTACCCCTGACCCTGGGGCCTTGAAATTCACAATTCTGGAAGATTAGGGTCCTTGCTCATCACAACTACATAGGTAGTTCATCTGCTTAAAACCCAAGAGCAGAGAAAAAAATTCAAAGATTTAATGTATTTTCACTATATAATCAATAGAGTCCCACCCTAGCACTAGAACCCCTGACCCTAAGGCCTTATTTCACAATTTTGGTAGAAGCACTCTTGCTCATCATAACTATGCACTTAGTTAGTTATTTAATACTCAGGAGCAGAGAAGAAGATTTTCAAAGAATTCATGAATTTTCACTATATAATCTATAGAGCCCCGCCCTAACACTAGAACCCCTGACCCTGGGGCCATAAAATTCACAATTTTGGTAGAGGCACTCTTGCTCATCATAACTATGCACTTAGTTAGTTTATTTAATACCCAGAAGCAGAGAAGAAGATTTTCAAAGAAATAATGTATTTACACTATATACTTATTTAGCCCCACCCTAGCACTAAAACCCCTGACCCTGGGGCCATAAATTTCACAATCTTGGTAGAGGCACTCTTGCTCATCATAACTATGCACTTAGTTAGTTTATTTAATACTCAGGAGCAGAGAAGAAGATTTTCAAAGAATTCATGAATTTTCACTATATAATCTATAGAGCCCCGCCCTAACACTAGAACCCCTGACCCTGGGGCCATAAAATTCACAATTTTGGTAGAGGCACTCTTGCTCATCATAACTATGCACTTGGTTAGTTTATTTAATACCCAGGAGCAGAGAAGAAGATTTTCAAAGAAATAATGCATTTTCACTATATATACTTAATATTTAGCCCCGCCCTAGCACTAAAACCCCTGACCCTAGGGTAAAAAATTTCACAATTTTGGTAGAAGCACTCTTGCTCATCATAACTATGCACTTAGTTAGTTTATTTAATACTCAGGAGCAGAGAAGAAGATTTTCAAAGAATTCATGAATTTTCACTATATAATCAATAGAGCCCCGCCCTAACACTAGAACCCCTGACCCTGGGGCCATAAAATTCACAATTTTGGTAGAGGCACTCTTGCTCATCATAACTATGCACTTAGTTAGTTTATTTAAAACCCAGGAGCAGAGAAGAAGATTTTCAAAGAAATAATGCATTTTCACTATATACTTATTTAGCCCCACCCTAGCACTAGAACCCCTGACCCTGGGGCCATAAATTTCACAATTTTGGTAGAGGACTCAGTGCTGATTACAATCATACAAACAGTTTAACTGCTTGATGTCCAGGAGTAAAGAAGAAGATTTTTAAAGATTGCATTAATTTTAGTGGTTTTTGCCCCACCCCCCAGGCCCCAGGGGGGCAGGGACCATGAATTTCACAATTTTTGTTCCCCTTCACCCATAGATGCTTTGTGCCAAATTTGGTTGAAATTGGTTCAGTGGTTGCAGAGAAGAAGCTGAAAATGTTCAAATGTTAACGGACGACGGACGACGCACGACGCACGACGACGGACGAAAACAGATGGCAATAGGTCACCTGAGTTTACTCAGGTGACCTAAAAATCAGTGCTTTGTTCCTAGCATTATATGCATATATCAACTGAAAAAAAAGAAAAAAATAAAACCCTGACAATGCGTACCCTGTGTTTGACATGTCTTCCATAATCCTTACAGATGTAACACATCAGTGGTGAGTTTTTACATTCCTCCTCTAGACAAGCAAACTCCACTAGATGCATGGGGTGGAAGGAACACTTCGGATTCTCTCGGGGTTTTTCTGATATTGGAACTCTTTTGTGTTTTGTGAGGGTTCTTGTTGAGTGCGTCTGTTCTGAGCATTCTACACATAAATGGGTGCAGCAAACCACACAGAACACGATGGCTGTATGGAGTTCATTCTCATCACAAGCAATGCCCAACTGTAAAAATCATAATAACATATTGTTTACTAACATACAAATTTAAAACATCTAAAAGTTATGATTTACAAGAAAGATCCATATTCATGTAGTCGTACTTTACTTTTTGCATGTGCATTCATTAATTAATAATGTTTTAATCAAGTAAAAGAAGATCGCGAAACTCGTGAGAATTTCTTGCACATGAATATAATAGTTCACTGTTGATTAACGGTAAATTCTCCCTAAAAAAATTTAAGGATTACTTGTCTCTCTTTGGCTAAGCTTTCCTCTGAGAAATTTGTCTTGTTAGTATGACTTGGAACTGGGTATTTGAGTTTTTCTAAGAGTTCCAGGAGAGCGAAGTTTTTCTTCAGACCCCAGACACCGGAATCCCCAATCTCTGTTGGTTGTCGATCAAATGGACAGTGGAGTATGTTACCATTGAGAGGAATACGGGTCAGGCATTGATGACAAACAGTGTGACCACAGACTAACAGTCGAGGGACTTTGTCACCTTGGAAACGGAAAACTTCATTGCAAACTCTGCATTCCAAGATAGTCTGAAAGCAATTTTTAGCAAAGAAAATTATGATATTATCCGAATTTTAATTGAAAAAACGGTATCCTGCTAAAAAAATCTATTTCAAACAGGAGTATTTTAAAAATAAATTCCACACTATTACTTTTTTCTTGGCAAAGTAGTCTTGTAGTCTTAAATTCTCTGATTATAAAATATAATCATAAATTTAACAATAAATTTAAAATGCAGTTCGAATTTCCTCAAAATAAATTTGAGTTATTAGGCACGTGACAATGTTTCAAAGAAGTAATAGATCAGAAATGTTCTTTCATGTTTACATTATCTGTTGACTCATCACTTGATCGCCCGCCCGTCACGTAAAGCCCAGCACTGGGCGATGTTCCACAAGCCATTTGACATCCGGAAGTCCAAATCTGGCCAGTGCACCTCTCTGTAATTCATCACCAGTTAATTCGGTCCGTGACGTTTTCACAATACTCAATGATCTTATGTATATCATTGGCTTGTATGTTATGTTTTCACTAAGATAATTTTAAATAAATATTTATTCAATGAAACAGACATTTTCTTTATGAATTTAAATCATGAAACAATTCTGAATATGAGAAAATGCAAAAGGCCCAAAAGCATTGCACCTATTGACCTATTTCTTCAAATACGGGAAAACAAAGCCATGTGTGCAGACAAAACAGTCGTTATTGACGGGTTCACAGGTAAACTTTGTAAATGTAAAGTTATATCTTATATATTTGGTCATATTACATGATATATTTTCCAAAATTAAGGGGGAAAATTCACAAATTTTTTATTATACTAGGCTAGGCATGAACTAGGGGAGATCCGTCCAATTCTGGACACTTTTGTCATGTTTTAATATGTAACACCCAGCAAACGAAAATAAACACTCAACACACTCTGATTTCAAGTGGTAAAGTATGGAAACACTTTTTGGCAACAAAATGCAATGAATATCATCATGAAACAGAATTAAATATCTTTTATTGATAATAAAATGAATTCAGGTGGTGAAATAGTGCAAGTCCGGACAACATGGGGTAATTCCGGACAGAGGCGGGTAAATCCGGACAGGAGAGCAATATGTGCTTTGAAAAAAAAAAATGTGAGAAAATACATTCCAACAACATGCCACTTTGTTAGACAAAGCATGCTTGTTTTACATTACTTAGCATGTGTATTGCACATTTTCACGAGAGAGAGAGAGAGATGCCGGTTAGGGACTTGCATAGAAATGATATTATAGAGCCCTCCCCCTTCCCAAATTTATTTTTATGAAGAAAATTGTTTAATCGTCAGAAAGAGTAATTAATAAATAAAAACAATAATTCAGACACTGGACTAACTTTTTCTTGGGTCTTTAATATGGGCCGATGTGTCAATAATTTTGGGTCGACCCGTCCAGGCCTATAGGTGTCAACCGTCACAGGCCGAGGTGTCGATGGGCCGAAATGCTGTCTACCCATAAAACCAGCGTCCGGAATTCCCCCACCTAGAAAAAAATCAGCGGGGGAAATCGGAACACATTGTTTGATAAATTTAATGAAAAAATTAACATTATTTTGTATTATTCATCATATTTTTTCTTTTTAAACATATGCTCTCTACATAAGAAATTTATAATAATAAATGGAAATCAATATTTATCTTAGCTGTTGTTTTAATTCTATGTCAGATTGCCCTTAATTTGATCAAATTTTGCCGCCTAATGCATTTCATTGACATAAAAGTCCAAAGTCTAACTTTTGACGTTATTATAGCATTCAGAATAACCTAGAATCATTATAATGTTTTTAAAAAAGACAACAATGACACCCGCTTTCCGAATGTACTTCATTTATTTATAATCAACAATACAGAATTACCGAAAAATAAGACAAAAGAGAAAGACTATTATTTGTCCGGAATTACCCCGTGTCCAGAATTGAACGGATCTCCCCTAGAGTTTACATGCATTCGAATTTCCTCAATCCATGAGTAAATTAAATACGGGTACAAATAAAACATGGAGATAACGAACAGTATTCAAGATCAAAAGTCCATAAAACAATACAAAAAAGAGCAGAGCAAACAAAGTGACACTATTTATAAATGACATTTGATTACAATGAGTCCAAAAATACAAATAAAGCAGAGGAAAATGCAGTCTTGCTAAACAGAGTACGTATGAGGTGCCGTTTTTGTATTTACTGGCAAAAAGTGATATCACCCATTTGAATAGGTAATATCACTTATTCGGATAGGTGATATCACCTACTCATTTTCAATAGGTGATATCAACTATTCGAAAAGTGATATCACTTATTCGAATAGGTGACATCACCTGTTTGAATAGGTGATATCACCTATGGAAATGAAAAGGTGATATCATTTATTTGAATAAGTGATATCACCTATTCGTGCTGAATAGGTGATATCACCAATTCGAATAGGTGATATCAGCTATTTGAATTTCTTACAACATTAAATTATGAATACTCCCTATAATAATTATACAGATTACCACTGGAACCAAGAAAATTTGGACTACCCAGTTTTCATGCGTTATTCAAATTTTTCTTAAAGTTTACCTGATGGATAAGTGAAATAAATTAATTTTGTGAGCAAAACACTAAGGGACCTATAGTCTTGGGAGCTGTTATTTCATAAATGATTTGAATACTAGGTGATATCACCTATTCGAATAAGTGATATCACCTTGTCGAATAGGTGATATCACCAATTCAAATCAAATAAGTGATATCACCTATTCGAATAGGTGATATCACTTATTCAAATAGATGATATCACCAATTGAATAGGTGATATCACCTATTCGAATAGGTGTGTCATGCCATATCATTTTGACCGAGCCTGTGAGGTACGCACTTTCGCGTGAAGTCCGTTATATTATATAATCATCAAATGGCAAAAGGAGGAATATATGACGTCACGTTCTACGTAACTTTAATGCAACCGAACGGTGTGTCATCATATCTTTCCGCGGACGCGGCCGATATGAATATCATGTGGCGTCCTTTCAGCCGATGAAAACTACAAAAATAATCTTCTTATATAATATCACCAATTGAATAGGTGCCCCATAAGTACACTAATACGATAGAGTACTTTAGAGTATGCTAGAAATATATTTATTAATGCAATAAAATTGCTTTATTTTGTTTTTCCACTTAAGTTTAACATAATGAATATATATTTTTTAAATAAAAGACTTATTTTACAACCAAATTTTATCAAATATGAAATTAATTGCGTGTGTTACTATAAAATATTATATTAACACACGCAATTAATTTCATATTTGATAAAATTTGGTTGTAAGTCTTTAGTAAGTAAGTCTGAAACAAAATAGTAATTGAGATTTGGGTATTAGTAATCTTGAATGCGTTGAATTATGGATGTTATTTTCTTGTCAAAATATCGCTAAAAAACAAATATTTGAAACAAATATTGCAATTAAGTTTATAATAATGTTTAATCAAGTTGTACATACATAAATAAACAATTTTATTGCATTAAATAACATAATTTTTCTAGCGTACTCTAAAGTACTGTATCGTACTCTAGCGTACTCTGTTTAGTAGTACCCGAGGAAAATGTCTTATTATATAAATGATTAAATCCTTCTTTGAGATACTTATAGTATCTGCATGGTATCGACAATAAGGGACATCAAAGAACAAGATGATGATATCAGCTTCTCTTTCATCAACTTTCCTTATTTCCGTAGTAATATTTTGCTATCACCTGCATATGGTATACTTTTCCAGACCTTTTTGCTACTCAAGAGCATGCCACAAGTACAATCCATTTCTAAACTGAGATAGGCTACTGACAGATATGTTGATCATAAAGGGATTTTAACAACCTCTTTAAAGTGATATCTTTTTAAAAATTTTAACCTTGGCCATAACTTTTGAACGGTACTAGGGCTTTCTTGCTTTACATATGTAGTCCATGTCATCAACTTTCCTTATTTGACCTACCTTTCAAAAACTTATCCTTAGCCATACCTTTTGAACAGGTGGTGCCAGGGCTTTCATATTTCACAATTGTATTTCTTATGAGAAAAAAGTTAAATCTTTGGGGGCATTTGTTTTTCAAAAACACATCTTGTTTTTCTAGTATTACAAACAAAGTTTCAAGAGTCCAAGAAAAGATAAAAATAGGGTGGGGTCATTAAAAAATCTTCTCAAGAACCACTGGGCCAGAAAAGCTGAAACTTATATGAAAGCATCCTGGTATAGTGTAGATTCTAAATTGTTCAAATCATGACCCCCAGGGTGGGGCCACAATGGGGAATCAAAGTTTTACATAGAAATATATAGGAAAAATCTTTGAAAATCTTCTTCCAGACCACTAGGCCAGAAAAGATAGGACACTGTTTGTTGTCAATGTACCACCTTTACTGCACACAGGTATCAATTGTTCATACCGGGGGAAGGGTGGGCCACAATGGGGAATCAAAGTTTTACATAGAAATATATAGGAAAAATCTTTGAAAATCTTCTCAAGAACCACTGGGCCAGAAAAGCTGAAACTTATGTGGAAGCATCCTGGGGTATACTAAATTGTTCAAATCATGACCCCCGGGGGAAGGGTGGGCCACAATGGGGAATCAAAGTTTTACATAGAAATATATAGGAAAAATCTTTGAAAATCTTCTTCAAGAACCACTGGGCCAGAAAAGCTGAAACTTTTGTACATCGAAGGAAGGGGTAGTGTAGATTTCAAAATTTCTAAATTATGATCAGTGGGGTAGGGTGGGGATGTATTATGTATTACAAGGAGGATATCTGGTAAAGGACAGAATGGTCAAAGCTTCTCAGGTGAGCGATGTGGCCCATGGGCCTCTTGTTCAAAAACACATCTTGTTTTTCTAGTATTACAAACAAAGTTTCAAGAGTCCAGTAAACCCGGACACAGTCTTTATGTAAAGGAACACCAGGGCAGAGCCAGTACCAGACCCAAAGATAGGACACTGTTTGTTGTCAATGTACCACCTTACTGCACACAGGTATCAAGTTCATACAGGCTCACTGATTCCTGTGAAACTAGAAATTAATATACAATATTGTATGGTGTAACTCAAGTTTAAATAAAATGCTTAATTTAAGAAAATCTTGATTTAGTCATTTATAAAGAGATTTTTATACATGGAGAAAAAAGGTGAAGGTATGATTAGGCCAAGCTTAAAAAATTCTTTGTTTGCAATTGCCAACCTGTAATTCATAGACTAGGTCGGTAGGTAGGCATTCTTTTTTTTTTTGAAAAAATTTCAGATTTTTTGTTAGATAATAAAAATAAAGCTTTTCATTGGCCTACTAAACACGAATAAGCTCCACTATTGTTATAAACCACTGAAAAAGAGTCAAAATTTGAAAATGAAACAGTTTCAATATCCTGAAAAAATTGAAAAAAAAATTAATTTACTAATGGCTAAAAAAAAGTTTGGGTCGGGTGCATTTTCAGTGGGTCGGTAGGCAACTGCAAACAAACAAATTTTTATTTTAGGCCTTACAAATTAATTAATCTTGGATACATGCATGTATATGAAAACGAAATTCAAAGTCCCTGTGACTAATTTTTACTACACATCTTTACTTATAAGCAAATAAATGTTAACAATAAACCTAAAAAATCCTGCACATGTTGAACCCTGCAGAGTTACTGCTTGCAACTGGAATATTGAGTAACAAAATTTGAATTTTGTGAAACAAATTTTCAAAGTTTGAAGTTTGAACTGATACTTTTTCTTCATATGTACTTATTTTTGAAATTGAAGTCATCAGATAACTGTTTTTTAAGCCCAAAGTAAGTTTTATATTTCATACCTTCCTGAACATATGTAGAAGTTACATCTGAAAGAAAAAGTATATTGTGCAAATTCACTTACAACAGAGTATTTGTGGAAAAAAAATGCTATACAGATATAAATCAAATAAACTATTGACATATATAGTGGGATTGAGTCATAGATACCCAAGATTTCCTTATTATCCGCATTATCTTTACATGTGTCGAGTGAATTTGTCTTTATTATTTTAGGTGAGCATACAAAAGGTCTTCTCTGCGTTTGGGGAAGTGATCAAGGTTTATATGTATGACAAGCCTCACAGCGAAGATAAACAGCGGAACCAGTCCAAGTATTTTCCAGATATCCCACAGGTCAAGGTAGAGGAAATATTTAAATCATATTATATCACTTAATTGACAGTTAATCAAAACAAAAGCCACTCAAACAGCAAGGTTCTGTAAATAATTAAAACAGCAGTAAGTCAATAAATGAAATATCACTTTGCAAGTATGTTTTCTGTTTAATGCAGAAAATTCTTTAAAGTTTTAACATACAAATACAAAATTATATAATATACTAGTACATACAGTTTAAACCATTTAAACATGTTGAAATGATGTTAAAACTGTTTTCAGCTCACCTGAGCCGAAGGCTCAAGTGAGCTTTCATGATGACATTTTGTCCGTTGTCCGTCTGTAAACTTTTCACATTTTCGACTTCTTCTCAAGAATCAGTGGGCCAATTTTAACCAAACTTGGTAAAAAGCATCCTTTGTTAAAGAGGAGTTTAAATTGTTAAAATGAAGAGCTAAGTTCCCTTCCAAGGGGAGATAATCAAGAAAAGTCAAAAATAGGGTGGGGTCTTGAAAAAAATCTTCTTCTCAATAACCACTGGGCCAGAAAAGCTGAAACTTATGTGGAAGCATTCTGGAATAGTGCAGATTCTAAGTTGTTCAAATCATGACCCCCAGGGGTTGAACGGGGCCACAATAGGGAATCAAAGTTTTAAAGAGAAACATATAGAAAAAGCTTTAAAAATCTTCTTCTCAAGAACCACTGGGCCAGAAAAACTTAAACTTATGTGGAAGCATCCAGGGATAGTGTAGATTCTAAATTGTTCAAATTGACCCCCGGGAGTTGGGCAGTGCCACAATAGGGAATCAAAGTTTTACAGAGAAATATATAGAAAACAACTTTAAAAATCTTCTTCTCAAGAACCACTGGGCCAGAAAAGCTTAAACTTATGTGGAAGCATTCTGGGATAGTGTAGATTCTAAGTTGTTCAAATCATGACCCCCAGGGGTTGAACGGGGCCACAATAGGGAATCAAAGTTTTAAAGAGAAATATATAGAAAAATTCTTTAAAAATCTTCTTCTCAAGAACCACTGGGCCAGAAAAATTTAAACTTATGTGGAAGCATCCAGGGATAGTGTAGATTCTAAATTTTTCAAATTGACCCCCGGGAGTTGGGCAGTGCCACAATAGGGAATCAAAGTTTTACAGAGAAATATATAGAAAACAACTTTAAAAATTTTCTTCTCAAGAACCACTGGGCCAAAAAAGCTTAAACTTATGTGGAAGCATCCTAGGATAGTGTAGATTCCAAATTGTACAAATCATGACCCAGGGGGGTTGGGCGGGGCCACAATAGGGAATCAAAGTTTTACATAGAAATATATAGAAAAATTCTTTAAAAATCTTCTTCTCAAGAACCACTGGGCCAGAAAAGCTGAAACTTATGTGGAAGCATCCTGGGGCAGTGTAGATTTCAAATTGTTCAAATTGACCCCTGGGATTAGGAGGAGGCCATAATTTGGAATCACAATAGGTTATTACATGAGGGAAATCTGGTAAAGAACAGCATGGTCAAAGCTACCTAGGTGAGCGATGTGGCCCATGGGCCTCTTGTTAGTTATGTAATTTCCATTCTCTTTGTACATTTAGATATCGACAGACATACAATTGTCTTTCATCCCTTTTGCAGGGTTTTAAGGTGGCCTACATTGTCTTTAAGAAGCCTTCATCGGTTCAGAAAGTCAGATCTCATCCTTACGACAGAATTCTCACCCTCTCTGATGAAGAAGTCCCGATTCTCACTGGAATCAAAGGTAAGAAATCAAAACAACTAATGTTTATCAAGTTCATTGATAGCACATACTATGTATATGTGTGGTACATCTATGTACTCCATGGACTTAAAGTACTTATACCACTTAAACCCAACTTATTTGTTATATGAATCAGAACACATGCATTCATTTCTAAAGAAATTTTGAGCATTTAGATATCATGTGGTTTTATTTTAGAGAAGTCTTTGTACTTCAGTTGATTTTGATGAAGTGAAAACCTGTTTTACTATATGTGACTTTTTCTTGTCATGGTTATCCAGTCTCTTAAAAAATATTATAATAAGAGTCTTACTATCATTAAATGCATATACTGTATGAGTACATAAATTTGCGTATTCAGAATTTAGTAGAATCACTGGGTTGTTGTTGTTGGCATATTCATGAATTAGAGGTACACATTAACACGCAATTTATTGTATTTATAAATGATTTCTAAGCGGTATTCATGAATGAATACTGTATACAGGGTTATTTTCGCCCCATGTTATTTTTGCCCTTTCACACTTGAAAACAATTTTGTCCCGTTTTAAATTCACCCACTTATAGTTTTCTTTAAGAAATGATACTGTAATCTTTGAATTAGCCCCGTTTTAAATTCGCCCAAAAGAGGGTAGGACGAAAGGGGTGAAAATAAAATGGAGGCGAAAATTTCCCTGTATACAGTAAGAGCATCGTTGTCTGTGCCAAAGCCATTAAATACGAAGAGAGCTTTCTTTAATTACACATGTAATTGGTACATGTACAATAAATCCATTTTATTTATTTAATGAACAGAATGGCAGAAAGAGTACAGAGATAATGAGTGTAACACCCAGGAGCTACAGTCAGAGATAGATAGCTACATGGAGGCCTATGATGAGGAACAGGAGAGAGAAAAGAGGCTGGCCTTGGAGCAGGAGGGGGTACCCGACGACGAAGGCTGGGTCAAGGTCACGCGGCATGGCAAAAATAAGGGGGCCCCACGAACGGAAACCATGGAAAAGAAAGTCACGGCTAAAGACAAGAGGAGGCAGACCGAAAAAGTGAGGGGCTTATTTCTGTGGAACTTAACAAATTAAAATCATGAATACTGCATCTAGGTTTATTATTGAAATTTTTTCCATCTGCTACATAGTGTCATATATAATCCTTTAACTTCATTTGAAAAAAGATCTTTTAAAAAAACCTAATAACTATTTAACATGTGCATTTTATACATTGATTTTACTATGAACAAATTCCTGCAGAAGTGTGCCTGAACATCGTTTTTAGTTTCATGTATAATGTTAATCTGCAACTTATTTATTTTCAAGGAACTCAAGAACTTTTATGCTTTCCAAATGAGAGAGTCCAAAAGAGACAGTAAGTATTTAGTTTTTGTATACCTAGAACACCTAATTACTAAGACTTTGTATACCTAGAACACCTAATTACTAAGACTTTGTATACCTAGTACACCTAATTACTAAGACTTTGTATACCTAGTACACCTAATTACTAAGACTTTGTATACCTAGTACACCTAATTACTAAGACTTTGTATACCTAGTACACCTAATTACTAAGACTTTGTATACCTACTACACCTAATTACTAAGACTTTGTTTACCTAGTACACCTAATTACTAAGACTTTGTATACCTAGTACACCTAATTACTAAGACTTTGTATACCTAGTACACCTAATTACTAAGACTTTGTATACCTAGTACACCTAATTACTAAGACTTTGTATACCTAGTACACCTAATTACTAAGACTTTGTATACCTAGTACACCTAATTACTAAGACTTTGTATACCTAGTACACCTAATTACTAAGACTTTGTATACCTAGAACACCTAATTACCTAGACTTTGTATACCTAGTACACCTAATTACTAAGACTTTGTATACCTAGAACACCTAATTACTAAGACTTTGTATACCTAGTACCATTAATTACTAAGACTTTGTATACCTATAACACCTAATTACTAAGACTTTGTATACCTAGTACACCTAATTACTAAGACTTTGTATACCTAGTACACCTAATTACTAGGACTTTGTACACCTAGTTCAACTAATTACTAAGACTTTGTATACCTAGTACACCTAATTACTAAGACTTTGTATACCAAGTACACCTAATTACTAAGACTTTGTATTACCTAGTACACCTAATTACTAAGACTTTGTATACCTAGTACACCTAATTACTAGGACTGTGTACACCTAGTACACCTAATTAATAAGACTTTGTATACCTAGTACACCTAATTACTAAGACTTTGTATACCTAGTACACCTAATTACTAAGACTTTGTTTACCTAGTACACCTAATTACTAAGACTTTGTATACCTAGTACACCTAATTACTAAGACTTTGTATACCAAGTACACCTAACTACTAAGACTTTGTATACCTAGTACATCTAATTACTAAGACTTTGTATACCTAGTACATCTAATTACTAAGACTTTGTATACCTAGTACACCTAATTACTAAGACTGTATACCTAATACACCTAATTACTAAGGCTTTGTATACCTAGTACACCTAATAACTAAGACTTTGTATACCTAGTACACCTAATGATATGGAGTTGTAGTGTAACGTAATACTGAGCTGTTTGGAGCTTGCTAATTACTAAGACTTTGTATACCTATTACACCTAAATTACCAGGACTTTGTTGCCTTTATTTATTTATTTGATATGAATTAACTCTCTTGAAAATAAATTGTTCATTCTAAGATGTTAAAAAAATGGATTTATGCCTTCTTTATTAGAAAATTGGTGCAGTTTGAATATCCTATTCTCATTTGTTTTAGATCAGCAGACTTCTAAATATTTCTTTATTACAGAGAATTTCTTCTCTATTATGTATAAATAATCTGGTACTATATTCATTTTGCAGGTATTGCTGAATTACGCAAGAAGTTTGAAGAGGATAAACAGAGAATTTCTTTAATGAAAGCATCAAGAAAATTTCGACCTTATTAAAAATATTTATTCATATAGATAAATGTGTATTGTTTTTGTGAGTCTAATTTTACAAACCCTGGTTAATTTTTTTAAGATTGATTGTATATTGTTTAAGGTTCCTCTCGAGAATTTTTCACTCATGTGAATTTTTCACTCCACCACTTGCTGGTGGAGAGCTACAAATTTTGTCCTACACTCGGCACTCAGTGCCATTGAGCAGGGAGGAATCTTTTTCATTCCAACACCTACTGCAACATGGGACCTCGGTTTATATGGTCTCATCTGAAGGACCAGTCTCCACATCCCAGAGTGGGATTCAAATACCATATAAGTAGAATTTTAGCAAGGATTTAATTTTGGCATTATTAGTGAGGGTGCTGACATCACTAAAATTGAATATCGCTAAAAATTAACGAGGCCCAATCTACTTGATCTGCACATACGTTTTAAAGCAGCGTCGACTCAGTCACAATACCCTTGAATGCCGTCACAATTGAACACAATAACGTCACAATTAAAATGATCTCAAATTGCGCTAAAATGTTTCGCTGATCTTGCTTACCTGGTAGCTCTATAGACTGTGCATGGTGAAAGCTGGTATTTCTATTATTTACATTTTTTAAAAATATCTGTTTAAATTAATAAACAACTTTGGAACATAATCAATTTTGAGGGATCAATATTTTGGTACAGATTCATTAATTTTATCTTGTTTTATTTCAATTTGTGAGTTTAGAAAAACAAAGATTGCAACCAAAAGTAAACGAATTTAGTATTTCTCCTTGAACATGTTGAAGTGTTTATACACACTCTTTTTTTAGAATGAAAATTGCATGATATATGTGAAAAACAAAGCATTTCATCGTGTATTTTTTTTAAATTTGTCAATTTCTTTGTTTATTGGAGAGTATTAGTATGTAATTGTGTAAAAAAAAACACGAAAAATGGTCCATATCTTGACAGTGCCTCCATTTGACTACAATAAAGGCAAGGTATCAAAATTTTATTTTAATTTTTCTTGGCATAAAACATACAAATATATTTCCAAGAATTAAATTTTTATCATTCCGTTTTCGTAATTTTCAACTAGATCGGGCCTCGTTAATTGCGCATTATTTGTGATAGTTTCTTGAGTTAGAATTTTAAAATTGCTAAAAGTACTTCTCGCTAAAAATAGAATACTAAATTCTAGGTAGAAATCGCTAAATTTGCATCTCGCTAAAATTTCCACTTATACGGTATGTGAAGCAAGGATTACTCCTTACTTCGCGACTCTATAGCAGACACTCTAATTACTGCCCCGTGCGCGCGACAATTTTTATAAGAACAAAAGTTGCAACATAGAGGAAGAATTGCAAATGTGTTCTGACAGCCACCTTTAAGTCAGTTTTCATTTGATCGATTTTTAGCTCACCTGAGCCTAATGCTTTAATGGGCTTATTTTGATCACAGGTTGTCCACCATAAATGACATTTTGGAAAAACTTTAAACACAAAAATTAGACTATGCGACCAATTCCATTTTCTTAAATAAGAAAGAATATAGAACTTTGTTATTTTCATGAATTACAAAGAAAACGTTTGTGGCATCTACTCTTAATTAAGGATGGGAAGGGAGAAAACCATATGTTAGAACTGCTGACCACAGATCGCATCATTATACATCCATACAATATGAAATAAAACAGACGTTTGGATGTACATTATTACTGTGCAGAAAACATGGTATTAGGATTTACATAAGATATACATATAATAATACCTATTTTTTCTCATCATTTGTCACGAACATTTTTGTAAACGTATATCACAATTAACGAAAGTAACATCTTGCCAAAATCTTGATCATATATATCAAGTCCATCATTATCTTCTACTTCAAAAGATGGTGGGTTTTTATCCCATAAATTATAGAGTAGTAAACAGTAACCAAGACAGATTTTGTTTTCTCTTCAGGTAAACAGTATATTATTGTTTGGAATTACAGACTTTGGTTCAAAAGGCCATGCTAAGTCTCATAATCACGAGTGGTAATCCAACTTATACACAGAGCTCGCTTTTTAAGAATCCTCTCTACATCACTATGATCAGTGCAAAATGTTTTTTGGATTTTATGAAAATTATATTGAATTAAGGTGTAAATGTTGAGCTTATATCTATTCAATTTTAAATATATGGTACGTGTTATTTGCCCAAGAAAAAAATGTTTAAGGTCAAACGACAAAATACCACAGGGTCATATTTCTTATATAACCCTTAAGGGTTATCTTCTGAATGGCCTGTATCACCATTTTTGTGTACTTATATTTAAAAACATTTTGAAAACAATGTAGAAATCAGATGAGAATGACAAATATGAATAAGTTTTGATATAATACCAAGAGAAACAAAAACATAAATTTGAGGAACTTGTCGTCTGACCTTAAACACAACACAACTGTTATTTACTTCCATGGAGAAAATACATGTAAATAACATGCTTAATTGATTGATTAATTTTTTGCTTTTTAAAATTTTAAGAATACTTAAATTGTTTACAAATTATATGATATACTGTATCTATAGCTATTTATTGGAATTTAGATCTAAGGGTAGACAACTAACTGCAGAAAAATGCCTTGGAATCAGAACCCTTTGGTGTGAAATGAAGAAAGGGTTCTTAAGGAAGTTAAAAAAAGTCATGTTGAAGATTTTTTTTGATAAAATGAAATATGTCAGAAAGGACAATAATTTCTAAAACGAGTTTGCAAATAAATACTCCTAAGTCGAATGTGGATTGACATTTTTTTAATACAAAGTTAGGCCATTATTTTTACACTGAATTGCCCACGATTTTTTCCTTTTGTCCGATCACGAAGAAGAGTACACCACGTGGTTGTGACGGAAACCAACGCAGGAACGAAAAGACTATTACTCATTTAAACCATTTGCGATTTCAAAAGAATCAGAATTCACAAGCAGGGCCAGAAGAAGGGGGTTCTTAAAATATGAAGATTACAAATAGTAATCTACCTCAAAGGCTATTTATCAGGAGCAGAGCAAATACGGACCTCTAAAAAACATCAGATCAAGTGCCATGGAGGAGTGAGCGTCCTTGTCCACCGTCATACCCGCTGTGTGCTGCTTGTCATGAACAGGCAAACGAAAAACTTCTGTAGAAAATTCAGTGTGTAAATAATGGCCTAACAAATAATATGGAAAACACTAGTCAACATTCGACTTTATAATCATTTGTATTTGCAAACAAACAAGGTCACTCTAGCGACCAATGTGCTATTAGGTATAGAATGAATCCTATACCATTTTTCACTGAAATAATTCTTAAAAATGTTTTATTTTTTCAGACATTATTTGTTAGCTGTCATCGATAATCTCAACTTTGCAAGTCAAGGGTTTTTGGTCCGAAGAGGGAAGCAGACAGAAAACCCCTGGCGTGCGAAGATGGGATATTCCACGTAAACAGATTTATTTTCTTATATTCAATATTCAAGGTTATTTCTTCATTATCAGGAAACGACACAACAATTAATATAAGTACATGTACAGGTATATTGATTAGTGGACTTTTGAGCTTGAATACTGTACGTTATTATACCCCACGCAACTAGTTGCGGGAGGTATAATGTTTTTGACCCGTCCGTCAGTCAGTCAGTCCGTCAGTCAGTCAGTCCTCTTTTTTTTTGTCAGCGCAACTCCTCATAAACCGCTGCACAGAATTTCGTCAAACTTTGCAGGTATTTAGGACACAATGTGTAGATATGCATATTACCAGGAAATTCCGATTCCATTATTTTTTCCGGGAATTTCCGCACTTTTAACTTAGGCATTTGGCCATACCTTGAATATAGAGATGAACAGTTTGTCAGCGCAACTCCTCATAAACCGCTGCACAAAATTTCGTCAAACTTTGCAGATATTTAGGACACAATGTGTAGATGTGCATATTACCAGGAAATTCCGATTCCATTATTTTTTCCGCGAATTTCCGCACTTTTAACTTAGGCATTTGGCCATACCTTGAATATAGAGATGAACAGTTTGTCAGTGCAACTCCTCATAAACCGCTGCACAGAATTTCGTTAAACTTTGCAGATATTTAGGACACAATATGTAGATGTGCATATTACCAGGAAATTTCGATTCCTTTATTTTTCTGGGAATTTCCACACTTTCCAACTTAGACTTTTTGGCCATATTTTAAATATAGAGATGAACAGTTTGTCAGCACCACTCCTCTTAAACTGTTTTACATAGTTTCGTCAACCTATGCTGATATTTAGAACATATTCCATTATTTTATCCCAAAGAGTTTTGACTATTATTCAAGAAAATTTCTCACCCCCCCCCCCCCACTTCAAATTAATGTGTGGATTTGTATATTGTCAAGAAATTTTGATTCCATTATTTATCTAGAAACTTCATTCCACATTTAAATGTCCTCATATGCAAGACATTTTGATGAGAAGATTTTTTGCAATTATTGCCCTTTTTGATCTATACTATGTATTTAAAGTGCACTGTGCCTTTCATTATGTGTTTCACCGTCAAGTTATGGGGGAGCATGGGGTATGTGAGCTAGCTCACTTTTTCTTTCATTTCCATATATTTATGCCCCTTTCGAAGAAGGGAGGGCAGATTGCTTTGCTGCGGTCTCTCTGTCGGTCGGTCTGTCGGTCCATTTAGTTTCCGTTCATTTACTTCATTGCACGTACTGAAACAATCTAATTAAAATTAGATCTTTGATCCGCTCCAGTTTGATCGCTACACAAAGCGATCAAACTGGAGCGGATCAAAGATCTAATTTTAATTAGATTGGTACTGAAATGAATTTTGGTAAGGGTATAATCAGATAAATATCTAGGTCAAGTTCTGTTCTGGGTACGATCGCCCCATTTTTGACAGAGTTTTGCCCCTTGGATTTAGAAAAATTCCAATTATTTGCAGTTTCCGTTCATTTTCTTTGGAGAGGTTGCACATATTAAAATGGAATTTAATATACAGATTAGTCAGATAAATATCAAGGTCAAACTCTGTTTTGGGTACGATCGCACC